TAGCAGTATGATACTTAATGCTAAAATCATTGTTTAACTGTGGTTCAATTGTTTCATATCACTAATATAGTCTATTACATACCGTTTGGTATAAATGAATTCCATAAGTTTTGAGGAATTCATTTTGAAATGAATTTTTTTCCTGATTGGTATATAAAAGAATTCATTTTCAATTCTAAAATTTGAATTCTACGGAATTGGAGCTAGTTATAGCAATTCCGTGAAATTGAGATGGAATTTCCAAATGAATTCCACAAGAATTTATTAATTATAATAAAATTACATAATTATCCTTAATTATTAATTAATTTACTCACCTGTATATTAGTTTGGCGCGTAAATAATTTTGCGCGCGTACTTAGTTTCTTCAACCGGGTATATTAAACCCTATATACAGCTCTGTGGTTATAACCAAACCCTACTTTCATCGGAGACTCCCAATTTACCAAGCTGTCGGCGCAACTCCCTTCTTCTTCAATTCTATATCAATCACGCCACAAAGAAGGTTAGTTTTATTTATGTGTTTTGCTTTTGCGGTTCTTTGATGGGTATTGTTTCTGTTACATGGTTCAAAGCTCTTATATATCTACACGTAAAGCTGCTGTTAATGAGCTTATAATGAGATTAGGTTTATGTATAATATATGTGTTTCCTTTGTCTGTTATTGAGATCACTTTATGTTTTTTTTATGTTACTGTCTCTTCTTTTGTTATGCTCATACTGTCGACATTTGTGTGTATATATGTATATTATAGTTTATATGTTATTATTTTGCATGCAGTATGAGGAACAACGACAAAAATTTGATTGGAACGTTAGTAGCATATGCTGGTTATTTGATATTTCTTCTTCGGTTATATCAGTATGTTGAAAAGCCACAACTGGAGTGTAGGGTTCATCGACGAAGTATTAGAAAAGAGCTAATGAATAGAATAGAAACACACAAGAACACTTTTGATATTCTACGCATGGGACCAAAGGCGTTCAAAATATTAGTTCATATACTAAGGGAGAGAAACTTGTTGAATGATAATAAAAATAGTTCAGTTGAAGAGCAAGTTGCACTATTTCTATATACATTAGCACATAATGTAAGAAATCGCGTAGTTAATTTCTTCTTTCGCTGGAGCGAAGAGACAATCAGTCGTCATTTTCATGGAGTCCTCAAGGCCATATTGTCATTAGAAGCAGAATTTTTGGTTCAACCGAATGGATCTATAGTCCCTCCAGAGATATTGGATAGTGAAGGCCGGTTTTATCCATACTTTAAGGTAAATATATACTAGTAATATTCAATTGATATATGTTAAAAAGTGTAGAATTTTGGTGTACTAACATAATTAGATAGTATAGGATTGTGTTGGTGCTATTGATGGAACCCACGTTCGTGCTAAAGTTTCACAAGAAGAAGCACCAAGATATAGGGGTAGGAAAGGAATCCCCACAATGAACATATTAGCAGCATGCACATTTGACCTAAAGTTCACTTATGTTTTGGCGGGATGGGAAGGATCAGCTTCTGATTCAAGAATATTGGAGAATGCCTTAACAAGAGATGACAAACTAAAAGTTCCTCCAGGTAGGTGGTAGTGAGAGATAAAAAAAAGTGCTTGTTCATTTTGTTAATGAGCTAGTACTCTATAAAAAAACTATTCTTTTGTTTGAATATAGGTAAATTTTACTTGGTTGATGCGGGCTATGCTTTGAGGCCTGGATTTATCACGCCGTACTAAAACACAAGATATCATTTAAAAGAGTATTCTCATTGTCCTCCGGTGAACTCAAATGAGTTATTCAATCTACGACATGCATCATTGCGTAATGCAATTGAGAGGGCTTTTGGTGTCATGAAAAAGAGATTTCCCATTATCTCTAGTGGTTCAGAAGCTCATCATGATGTCAACACACGTTCTGAAATTGTGCTTGCTTGTTGTATTTTGCATAACTTTCTTTTGATGTATGATCCCGATGAAGATATTCTTCGTGAGGTTGATAAAGAATTGATGGAAAATAATGTTGAAGAAGAAGATAGTGGATCTGAAAATAGAGACGCAGATGCTAGGACCGCAGAAAAAATTAGAGACAATATAGCATTCCAGATGTGGAGTCACTATGTTTGAGATGCTAGTCACAAGCTCCTAAATGTGTTTTTCATAGTTCTTGAAGCACTTTTTGTCTTTACATTGGATATTATTGTCTTTAATGGAAGTTGTTGCATCTACTTAGTTCGTATTTTGTATTTGTTTAATGGTTCAAATAGATGATGGCAGCGGGTGAAGATGAAGTCCAAATTTTGAACACCAACCCTCAAAAGACTGACAAGTACCTTAGGTGGCCAAAGGAGATGGATAAACTTCTTTTAGACCTTCTGAAGGAGGAAAAGGCCAAAGGAAATAAGGATGAGAAGCAATTTAACAAAGCTGCTTGGACTACTGTCATTGCTGGGCTAAATTTGGGGTTTAAAAAGCATGGTAAAACTATCGATAAGACAAAGGCAGTTAACAGGCTAAAGACTATCCAAAAGCAAATGGGGCTTGCCATTGAGGTCTTAGATAAAAAGAGTGGCTTCGGATGGAATGATACGATCAAAAAAATTGAGGCTGCTCCAAGTGTTTGGGATACTATAATAAAGGTAATGTTTACTTGATTGATGAAGCCTGATTGGCCATGCCCGAAGTCGTTACCTTAACCGCAAGGAGGGGGATGCCGAAGGCAGGGCTAGTGACTGGAGTGAAGTCGTAACAAGGTAGCCGTACTGGAAGGTGCAACTGATACAATTTGATTCGGGATAAGGAACTTCATTTTTTGGAGAATGCTCGAGAATTATTCGAGAAAGATCGAGCAAATGGAGATGGTGCCATGAGTGCTAAGGAAAATTTTACTAAGTACCAAAATGTTGAATCAGAGTTGGGAATTGATGATATTGATAGGATGATGGCCAACGACGAGATTCACCTTGATCCATTAGTGTCAGAAGCTAGCCAAGTTCCCGGAGTAGCGGTGCCACCAATTAATGTTGAAGTAAAAGCGCGGCCCGGGAAAGAGTCTACCAAAGGAACCAAAAGAAAGAGATCTATGTCGAGTACCATTGCTGAAGATATTATGCAGGTAACATTTTTTATGAAGAAATTGCTAGTGCCATAAAAAATTGAAATCAACGGATATATGCTGCTACCGAGCTTTCAGCCGAGTTAAAAAAATTGGGGTTAGACAAATGGGAAGTTATGGAGGCACTCAATTTTTTGAAGGACAATGAGCATCTAGTTGAAAGGTTCTTTGCTTGTGACGAGGAGATCAAGCTCGCTTGGCTCAAGAGAAAAAATGGGTTACAATAAAGATATTTAGAAGATGGAGCTTCAAACTATTTGCTACTTTTTTTGAACTTTTTGTTTTGTCATATTGGTTTAATAATAACTTTATCACTTGCATTTTTTAGAATTTGGATTTTCAATGTTTCATATAGATGTGATTCTCCCAGTTTTGATTTGGTTGTATGGGTCCTTGTTTATTTTTAGTGTCTGAGGTTGATCGATCACTATAACCTCATAATTGGAATCAAGCAATCAATCATCCAAGTTTTGAAGTTATCAGGGAGATGCATAACTTCTTTGAAAATTTGTTTGACTGTTTATTCAAGGCTCAACGCAGATCCCTGCAATTTGTATCTTTGCTTCTTTAAAATTGGATTTTTGCAATGGAAACTCCACACATCCATTCACGTATTGCAATAAAGGAACCATGGAATAGTTTTTATTCGTTTACTATAGCTCATTTGGATTACTGATCCTCCATACCGTGAGCTATTAGTTATTTCGATTTAATGGAAATTAATAAGGGCGTAGTTGAAAATTTTTAATTCAATTCCGAATGTAACCAAACATGATTTGAGAATTCAATTCATTTCATTTCTACATATTTGAACATGACATACCAAACACAAGAATTCATTTGAAAATGAATTCTACACAGTAATTCATTTTAAAATGAAATGAATTCCCGGTTCATTTGTTGAGAATGTTGAAAGTTGAATCCAAGATTAAGTCTTTTTTTTTGTTATATTTGTGACAGAATACATGTATTACATTTTTCTAGGCCCACCCACAATCACTCAAAATGAGTGATTATCAATCTCTACCAAAAGGTGAGATTGTGATTTGTGACCAAGGGATTGTCTACCCACTATTTTTTGCATTTATAACAAAGCACAATGTAAACCTCCAAACAATGTATTTTTCAAATTCATACATTTAATCAATACATCAAATTACAATACACAAATTGATTAAATACTTCAATTTGGAGAATCTCAACCTCCAAACAACCCCTGGGAGGTCAATTTTGTATTCAAAATGGGCTAGTCGATGGGCCCATCGCTTTTCAATTTTCGGGCTTAAATACAATGGGCTCGCTCTTCTCTGACTTAAACGGTGGAAAAATCAAGGATTAAAAACTGGAACCCGAAAAAATCAGCAGTATGATACTTAATGCTAAAATCATTGTTTAACCGTGGTTCAATTGTTTCATATCACTAATATAGCCTATTAATTTTGCTTCTAGTAGTACGTTTTTTGGTCGAACCGGCGGTTTGGTTGTTTAATCCATGGGGAAAAATCAAGGATTAAAAACTGGAACCTGAAAAAATCAGCAGTATGATACTTAATGCTAAAATCATTGTTTAACCGTGGTTCAATTGTTTCATATCACTAATATAGGCTATTAATTTTGCTTCTAGTAGTACGTTTTTTTGGTCGAACCGGCGATTTGGTTGTTTAATCCATTGGAAAAAATCAAGGATTAAAAACTGGAACCCGAAAAAATCAGCAGTATGATACTTAATGCTAAAATCATTGTTTAACCGTGGTTCAATTGTTTCATATCACTAATATAGCCTATTAATTTTGCTTCTAGTAGTACGTTTTTTTGGTCCAACCGGCGGTTTGGTTGTTTAATCCATGGGAAAAAATCAAAGAGGGGAAATGAAAACTGTGAACAAGAAAGAAACAGAATAGAAGGTCGGAGATTTACAATCAAAACAAGAGAAGAGATTCATAAATCCTTCTCGTCTCGCGCTAGCTTTCTGTAAACGGCAAGGTGGCCGGCGGTGACTCATTTGGATCGGTAAGAGCAGCTACCCTTCTTCTCGTTCGGATTTGTATGCTTCCTAGCAAGTTACCCTCTTTTAGGTCACTCAGGGTTTCCAATTCTTCTGTTCGTTTTCTGAGAAAATGGGGTAAAATCGAAGCAAGATTTTCTTAGTTTTTGATTGAGGTCGCTGCCATTTTTAAGCTGCGAGCTCTCTCGTCCAGCATATTTTTCCTCTCTTCTCCCCGTCTATCTGTCCGTTCATTAAATTTCTGGGCTTCGAGTTGGATTTATATCTTTGTTGTGGATCCCTAGATTTTGGTGAGATAGTTGTAGAAATTAGGGAATTGACGAGATTTGTGAGGTAAGACATGCATACTTCTAATCTAATTAGTTAAGCTGTTACATAATATAGTCTGCTTCTTTGTGACTTATTTGTTCTTGCTTCTATCTTGCAATTGTATTATGTTTTGCATATTTTGTGCCTGACTTGACCATGGGTGGACGGATAGATTGGTAGAAAAATGTGAACTTTTGTGTATGAAGTCATGTATCTCGGTGACCGTTGTTGATTTGTGTACTCTTGCATTGTAGTTTCTTTGAATAGAAATTGGAGATACAATGGCCATGGTAGATGAACCATTATACCCCATTGCCGTCCTCATAGACGAGCTGAAGAATGATGACATCCAGTTACGACTTAATTCAATCCGTAGATTGTCAACAATTGCACGTGCTCTTGGCGAGGAGCGAACCCGTAAGGAGTTGATTCCTTTCCTGAGTGAAAACAATGATGATGACGATGAGGTCCTCCTTGCAATGGCTGAAGAGTTGGGAGTGTTTATTCCATATGTTGGTGGAGTGGAGCATGCCCATGTCTTGCTGCCACCTTTGGAGACACTATGCACCGTTGAGGAGACATGTGTAAGAGACAAAGCTGTAGAGTCGTTGTGTAGGATTGGATCTCAAATGAGGGAAAGTGATTTGGTTGACTGGTTTATTCCTCTTGTCAAGGTGAGAACGAGGTTCCTGAAAAGGTTAATTTGATTACGCAGTTGAATGCTGTTTCATAAGTTGTATTTTCCTTTTTTTCTTCCTTGCTTGTTCTGTTGAGGACACCGATTGTTCTCTAATAAGTCTCTATTTACATGGCTGTGCGGTTTTGCTTTAACTTTCCAGCTTCTTTCTTGTGTTTCTTGTTTGTTTTCTTCGTTGTTAAGTGATTCTACCTGTATTGTGCTACTAACAAAGAGCAATGCTTGTCTACACTGCTCTGGGATAGGTACTTATATTTCTTAAGTTGCTTTCACTCTGACATCAAGGTAGAAGCACTCAGAATAAAGTTTAGACCAGAGCAGATTCTTATAAATCTTAGCTCCTAATTTTCTCAGATATGTGCGGCTGAATTTATTTCGAACTTTTAGATATTGCCTAAAGATATGTCCCATTGACTTCATTTCATTATATTTATCTTGTATATCTGGAAAGCTTAGTGTATTTCTCCCTTTTGCTGGAGTTTAGTTAAGTTTTGGATGTATTCAGTTTTGTTTGTGACTTGGTTCCGATGAACTGTATTGCTTGGTTGCTATGCTGGCGTGTACCACTCACATTGTGAACATTTTATCAGGTACCGTTTTAATTACTTTCTGTGGTCTCTTTTTCAGAGATTGGCAGCTGGAGAATGGTTTACGGCTCGTGTTTCATCTTGTGGGCTATTTCATATTGCTTATCCTAGTGCACTTGATGCAATAAAGGCTGAATTACGTTCAATATACAGTCAGCTCTGTCAAGATGACATGCCAATGGTCAGAAGGGCGGCTGCAACCAATCTAGGAAAGTTTGCTGCAACTGTTGAAGCAGCACATTTGAAGACGGGCATCATGTCAATGTTTGAGGATCTTACCCAAGATGGTAATTTACCTTCTGCTACGATATTTCTTAGTCTCTCTTTTGCCTGTCGGGGTGTGCACAAACAACTAATACTTTGCCAACTATAATGCTCTTCTTGATTTAGTTCTGATTTAATTCTGATAACAATGATTACTCACAGATCAAGATTCTGTTCGTTTGTTGGCTGTTGAGAGCTGTGCTGCTCTTGGTAAACTGTTGGAGCCCCAGGATTGTATTGCACATGTTCTCCCTGTTATTGTAAACTTTTCACAGGTATGAACTCATATTAATTTTATATTTTGCTACTACTTGATGAAGGATATAATGGCACTATTGGTGATGTAACTGATGTTCTGATTTATTCATTAATTGACTAAGCATAGATCATTGTTCCAAGTGTCTTGACTAGGGTTTGCAACACCTGAGGTAACAGTGGACAAGAAACATCAACCTGAATTGACTTTACTTCTTAACTTGAATAGCTATAGTGGCATGAGTGGTGATGTAACTGATGTTTTGATTTATTTATTTGTTGAATAAGCTTAGAAATGTTCTTATCTTTGTGTCATTACTAGTACCACCAACACTTGAGGGAGAGTCCCGCTGAAAAAGAAAACCACTTTAGGCTTAGGGAGAGTGGTTGGACATCAACTTCAATTGACTTTGACTTTTTAACTTGTTTATACTTGTTCTGTTATCCAGAAATTCGAAATCTTTATGAGATAGAGAACTACTATTACATTGAAGGCTTTAAGCTGATGGAACCAATTGAGTTCCTAGTAGCTTGCCATGATCTCCTTCTCATAGTTTACTACTGCTTTGGTTCTGTTTCAATTGAATCTCATTGTTCTATTGGATATATGTTAAACATAAATTTTAACATTGATTAGAGCTTGTGCTAATATAAACTATATTCCCAGTTTTGCTATGTTTATTTCCTTTCATGCTCTTCTTACTTTGTCTTAATGCTTGCACAAATCATTATGTCTACATGTAGGATAAATCATGGCGTGTTCGCTACATGGTTGCAAATCAATTGTATGAACTTTGTGAAGCTGTGGGGCCTGAGCCTACCAAGTATTTTCCTAACTTGAGACGATCGCATTGCCACATTATTTTTTACGGCTAATTATTTTTGCTTTAGGTACTTTTTCTCTGTGTATATCTTATAAATAACTTTCTTACTTCTAAGGACGGACTTGGTTCCGGCATATGTTCGGTTACTTCGTGATAATGAGGCGGAAGTGCGTATAGCTGCTGCTGGCAAAGTAACCAAGTTCTGTCGCATCTTGAACCCTGAACTCGCAGTTCAGCACATTCTTCCTTGTGTGAAGGTATTCTTGTGAAAAATTAAACTTCTCCTTTTCTAACTCAGAACTTCTTTCTAGTAATTATTTTGACAACATCTTCCTCTGTCCATCAGGAACTGTCCTCAGATTCTTCCCAGCACGTCCGTTCTGCTTTGGCTTCAGTGATAATGGGAATGGCCCCTGTGCTGGGGAAGGTAATAATCTAGCTATGATTTTCTGTTGAACAATTTGTTTATGCTATTTTCTGCATGATTGCAGATCTGGCTTTTTTATGGTTGTTTTTTTTATCTAGTTCTTGGAGCAACTAAGTTTTCTGACCAACCCAGTGGTATTGGGACAAGTTTGACTCGCACATATTTAGCTCCTAGTTGTATCAGTTTCACTTTCAAGCTCTCTTTTTTTCTTCTTTCTTTAAAGCCTTTCTTGTTGGATTAAAATATGGACCAATAGGCAATGATACCATTAGATTTTCCTCTTGAAAAGACTTGCTGATTTGGCTTAGATCTTTTGATAATGCTATTTACTTGAATGTGCTTCACTTAGTCCTGGCTTCAAATGAAGTAATCTTTTGTAGCGGGAATGCAATCCATCTCTCAAATCCATTTTGTTTATCATCACAGGATGCTACGATAGAGCAGCTTCTTCCAATTTTTCTTTCCCTTTTGAAAGATGAATTTCCCGATGTGAGACTCAACATTATAAGCAAGCTCGATCAAGTGAATCAGGTTTGTTTCACTCAATGTCATATGGTCATGTTCCATGAATCTTTGCTTTCGATATGATTTTTTTAAGTCATCAAAATAGTAGTGTACCTGTTTTTTCTGCCCTATTATCCTCTTAGCAGTTACTCTTCTGCACTGAGACAAGTCATCTTAGTTTGGTTTATTTGGGATGCAACTGTTGGATTAAATCATACAAAGTTTGTCTGCTCTGTTATTGACTGTTAGATATTTTTCCTCTGTTTATCTTCATATCTGGAGTTGATATCCGCTTGTATTTCTGTATTTCTCTTCGGCATTTGTTGAAATGTCTCCATTTTAGCCTAATGCATTGACATCATGTGGTGTGTTTGTAGGTTATTGGAATTGATCTTCTGTCCCAGTCTCTATTACCAGCAATTGTTGAGCTTGCTGAGGATAGACACTGGAGGGTTAGGCTCGCAATCATAGAGTACATACCCCTACTGGCAAGCCAACTGGGTGTTGGTTTCTTTGATGATAAGCTTGGGAGTCTTTGCATGCAGTGGTTGCAGGACAAGGTATTGATTTTACAATCATGTGAACATCTATTAGATTAGATACAATAAATCTCCTTTTTGGTCGTGTATTATGCTAGGCGATACGTGGATTTTGGCAGTGCTATCTTCGTTATTATTATGTTCCATGGTTAATTTTTCCCCTTGGAATTTGACTTTTCAGTCATTAACATGGAATCCTTGCTTTTCTTGCTGAAAGCCCGATTCTCACTATTAGATAAGCCAGTTAGCCCTATTTGATTCATGGATAGGCTGTACTTATTGTCTTAAGGACTGCAATTATTCATTCTTTTGAATGCTAATTCACGCCTATCCCGTCGGTTTATTGCAGGTTTATTCAATTCGTGATGCTGCTGCTAATAATTTGAAGCGCCTTGCTGAAGAATTTGGTCCTGAGTGGGCAATGCAGCACATAATCCCACAGGTTAGTCTTCCCTTTCTCTGTTCGGTTACGAACAATACTGGTTTATCTAGTTTCTTCCATATTCCATTGTGCCCTTTTCTGTTTTGAAGGGATTGCATTGTTAGTTGGTATTTACAAGTGATACATTTAAGCTGTTATCGTTGCCGGCATGTATCACTCCAATGGCTGTCTGCCTATAGGCACCACTGTACCTATACTTCTCTCCCTATTGTTGCTGTGTTTTTTGCTGTTAATTTCCTCAAGGCAATTTGACATTGGCATTTACCTTGCCGTAGGTCCTGGAGATGTTCAACAACCCGCACTACTTATACAGGATGACCATTCTTCGGGCCACTTCTCTTCTTGCTCCTGTGATGGGCGCTGAGATTACGTGTTCGAAACTACTGCCTCCGGTTGTCAATGCAGCCAAGGACAGGTATCAGTTATCCTGATTCGAAATTCCCGCCCTTGTATAATATATGGTCTTCCGCAAGGTCTGTGGTTTTCTGATTATCGAATCTTTTCTTCAGGGTACCCAACATCAAGTTTAATGTCGCGAAAGTGCTGCAGTCCCTCATTCCAATAGTTGATCAGTCTGTAAGTTTAGTCAGCCGTATCCCCATTCTGCAACCTCTGGCCTTTCATTTTATTGAACTGTCAGTGAAAACCTCAATTTTTGCAGGTGGTGGAGAAGTCTATTCGTCCTGCTTTAGTGGAACTGAGTGAGGATCCAGACGTAGACGTGCGTTTCTTCGCGAATGAAGCCCTTCATGCGATCGACAACGCCATGATCTCAGGCTAGATATGCGCCGATAGGTTTTTACAGCTGAAAATAGTTTATTTCTGTCTTTCTCGTCGATGTTTTACAGTTGATTTGATTGTTGTGCAATTCTTCTGTATTTGAGTTGTATTAACTTTGCCCTTTCAATATGCTGGGTAGCAAACATGGAAATGTAATTTTGTAATCTAATATCTGATGCGAGTGAGGCTCGGCCTTTTTGCAACTGGACGAACTGGTAATAGAATCAAAGCTTCATCTGTAACTCCTTGGATTTTTGGTACTTGTAATGTTGTCTTGTCCAAACGTCTGGTGTTTATTGGAAATTAAATTATTATTATTGCTTGTTGAAGTTTATTATATCTTGTGGCGGGAAATTTTATATAGGACTATCTTTTTTCAAAATTTAAATTAAAATAACAATTAAAAATTAAAAAAAAGTTATTGATTAAGAAAATATATAAGTTCCACAAAAGTGTATGACATGTTAACCTATTTTAATTTTTTTGTAAAATACATACGCGGTCTACCATGCTTAAAAATCTATTTCATGTCAGGGCTTGTGTTACCACAACAAGTTTGTAAATTGCAAGTGTTATGGAATGGAAGGGAAACCGAAAGATTTCTTCCATCACGAGGTCTAAGACAAGGTTGTCTTCTTTCTTCCTATCTTTTTATGCTCTGCATCGAGAGACTAAGTCATTGTATCTTACATGAAGTGAAAAGTGGGAATAGGAAACCCATGAGACTCTTTGTTGGTGGCCCTAATCTCTCTCATCTATTTTTCGTCGATGATCTCGTTTTGTTTGTTGATGCCAACCTTTAGCATGTTGATATTGTGATGTCTTGCCTTGAGCGCTTTTGCTCTGCCTCTGGGGAGTTGGTGAGTAGAGAGAAGTCTAGAGCTTCCTTTTCTGAGAACACCCTACTAGGACTGATATATGCAGTAGGCTGCAATTCAAGCCACTTCGGACTTAGGGAGGTACTTAGGCTGTGACTTGCTGAGTTGTCAAACTCTCATGATCATGTTGGTGATGGTTGCATTCTAACATACGTCCCTAGCCCATATGCTACTTTGTTAAATGGATAACCACCCTAACTACCAAAAATTCTTTTCCCCAATTGATGTCTCTGTTGAGCCTGCAGCTATGTCTATCGATTGGCTTCTCGATGAGATTGTCATCAGCAACAATGCAACATCCTCTTCTGGATTTCGCTCAGCTAACTTGTCAAGTTTCGCTTCGTCTGCAAACACAACGATCAGTAATTGATGGACCGGAGTTCGTCAAGCGTTGCATCCTCAACTCAGTCGCTTCTGAGAATGCCATCATCTACCTAGTCCACGAAGAAGATAGCTTCATGAGGTATATGCATAATTGCATGGTGGCAGCGGTGGGGAAAAGAAAAAGAGGAAAACCAAGAGTATCGTTGGGAAAAAGAAACTATCGACTACAGGGAGTTCACGTTTAGTAGTCGCGAACCACATTGTTTCGCATCGGTCTAGCGTAATCCGCTGAATATCGCTCTAATATCAAGCAAACTATTACAGTATTACCTAATTAGCTTTACATTGGAGGGAACTGTTTGAAAGTTTTGTATTTTGGAAATTCTTTTTACAAGTGTTATATTGTGACAAATTTTGAAACCAAGAACAGGCGGATCAATGTTGAATCCAAAATGGGCGAGTGGATGGGCCCATCGCTTTTGTATTTTCGGGCTCAATGGGCTTCGCTCCTCTCTGACTTAAACTGTTCAAAAATCAAAGAAAAGAAATGAAAACTGTGAACAAGAAAGAAACAGAATATAGAAGGGTCGGAGATTTACAATCAAAACAAAGAGAAGAGATTCATAAATCTTCCTCGTCTCGCGCTAGCTTTCTGTGAACGGCAAGGTGGCCGGCGGTGACTCATTTGGATCGGTAAGAGCAGCTACGCTTCTTGTCGTTCGGATTTGTATGCATCCTAGCAAGTGACTCTATCTTAGGTCACTCAAGCTTCCCAATTCTTCTGTTTGTTTTCTGAGAAAATGGGGCAAAATCGAAGCAAGATTCGAATTTCTTAGTTTTCGATCGAGGTCACTGCCATTTTTAAGCTGCGAGCTCTCTCGTCCAGCATATTTTTCCTTCCTTCTCCCCGTCTCTTCTGTCCGTTCTTGAAATTTCTGGGGTTGGATTTGGATTTATATCTTTGTTGTGGATCCCTAGATTTTGGCGAGACAGTTGTAGGGATTAGGTAATTGACGAGATTTGTGAGTTGAGACATGCATACTTCTTATCTAATTAGTTAACCTGTTACATAATAGCGTCTGCTTCTTTGTGACTTGTTTGTTCTTGCTTCTGTCTTGCATATATATTATGTTTTGCATTTTTGGTGCCCGACTTGACCATGGGTGGAAGGATAGATTGGTAGAAAAATGTGAACTTTTGTTTATGCAGTCATGTATCTGAGTATCTCGGTGACCGTTGTTGATTTGTGTACTCTTGCATTGTAGTTTCTTTGAATAGAAATTGGAGTTACAATGGCCATGGTTGATGAACCATTATACCCTATCGCCGTCCTCATAGACGAGCTGAAGAATGATGACATCCAGTTACGACTTAATTCAATCCGTAGATTGTCAACAATTGCACGTGCTCTTGGCGAGGAGCGAACCCGTAAGGAGTTGATTCCTTTCCTGAGTGAAAACAATGATGATGACGACGAGGTCCTCCTTGCTATGGCTGAAGAGCTGGGAGTGTTTATTCCATATGTTGGTGGAGTGGAGCATGCCCATGTCTTGCTGCCACCTTTGGAGACACTATGCACTGTTGAGGAGACATGTGTGAGAGACAAATCTGTGGAGTCGTTGTGTAGGATTGGATCTCAAATGAGGGAAAGTGATTTGGTTGACTGGTTTATTCCTCTTGTCAAGGTGAGAATGAGGTTGTTGAAAAAGTTAATTTGATTACGCAGTTGACTGCTGTTTCATAAGTTGTCTATTCCGTCTTGTCTTCCTTGCCTGTTCTGTTGAGGACAACGATTGTTCTCTAATGAGTCTGCATTTATATGGCTGCTTGGTTTTGCCTTAACTTTCCAGCTTCTTTCTAGTGTTTCTTGTTTGTGTTTTTTGTTAGGTACTTATATTTCTTAAGTTGTTTTCAATTTGACATCAAGGTAGAAGAACTCGGAAGAAAGTTAAGACCATAGCAGATTCTTGTCAATCTTAGCTCTTAATTTTCTCAGATATGTGAGGCTGCATTTATTTTGAACGTTTAGATATTTTCTACATATATCTCCCCTTGACTTCATTTCATTATATCGATATTGTATATCTGAAAGCTTAGTGTATTTATCCCTTTTTGCTGGAGGTTTGTTAAGTATGGATATATTCAGTTGTGTTTGTGACTTGGTTCTGATGAACTGTATTGCTTGGTTGCTATGCAGTTACGTACAACTTGCATTGTCAGCATTTTCTCTCAGTTACCATTGTAATTACTTTCTGTGGTTTCTTTTTCAGAGATTGGCTGCTGGAGAATGGTTTACTGCTCGTGTTTCGTCTTGTGGGCTATTTCATATTGCTTATCCTAGTGCACCTGATACGCTAAAGGCTGAATTACGTTCAATATACAGTCAGCTCTGTCAAGATGACATGCCAATGGTCAGAAGGGCAGCTGCAACCAATCTAGGAAAGTTTGCTGCAACTGTTGAAGCAGCACATTTGAAGACGGATATCATGTCAATGTTTGAGGATCTTACCCAAGATGGTAATTTACCTTCTGTTACCCAGATATTTCTTAGGAGCATGCTCCCCACACTTTGTATACTCTCAGGGTTAATGTTCTCCGATTTAACTCTGAATAACAATGATTACTCTCAGATCAAGATTCTGTCCGTTTGTTGGCCGTTGAGAGCTGTGCTGCTCTTGGTAAACTGTTGGAGCCCCAGGATTGTATTGCACATGTTCTCCCTGTTATTGTGAACTTTTCACAGGTATGCAATCTGTTTATTTTGTATTTCACTATTTTGTAACTACTTGGTGAAGGATATTGTGGCACCAGTGATGATGTAGCTGATGTTTTGATTTATCCGTTCGTTGACTAAGCATAGCTAGTTGTTCCAAGTGTCTTGACTAGGGCTAGCAACACTTGAGGAAGCAGAGGACGGGAAACATCAACCTGAATTGACTTGTACTTCTTAACTTGAATTGGTATAGTGGCATGATTGGTGATGTAACTGATGTGATTTACTTATTTGTTGAATAAGCTTAGAAATGTCCTTATCTTGGTGTCATGACTAGTACCACTAACACTTGAGGCACAGTCCCACCGAAAAAGAAAACAACTTGAAGGAGAGAGGTGAAACATCAACTCAAATTGGCTCTGGCTTGTTAACTTGTTTATACTTGTTCTGTTTTCCAGAAATTGGAAATCTTTGTAGAATTCTGAGATAGAGAGTTTCTATCACATTGAAGGCTTTAAGCCGATGGAACCAATTGAGTTTCTACTAGCTTTCCATGATCTCATAGTTTACTACTGCTTTTGTTCTGTTTCAATTGAATCTCAGTATCTCACTATTTTATTGGATATTTTCAAACATAAATTGTAACAATGATTAGAGCTTGTGCTAATATAAACTATATTCCCTGTTTTGCCAAGTTTATTTCCTTTCATGCTCTTCTTCCTTTGTCTTAACGCGTGCTCATATCATTATGTCTACATGCAGGATAAATCATGGCGTGTTCGCTACATGGTTGCAAATCAATTGTATGAACTTTGTGAAGCTGTGGGGCCTGAGCCTACCAAGTATTTTTCTAACTTGAGACGATCGCATTCCCTCATTATTTTTTTACGTGTAATAGTATTTTTGCTTTAAATACATTTTCTCTGTGTATATCTTATAAATAGTTTTTGTACTTCTAAGGACGGACTTGGTACCGGCATATGTACGGTTACTTCGTGATAATGAGGCGGAAGTGCGTATAGCTGCTGCTGGCAAAGTAACCAAGTTCTGTCGCATCTTGAACCCTGAACTTGCAGTTCAACACATTCTTCCTTGTGTGAAGGTATTCTTGTGAAAAGTAAAACTTCTCCTTTTTGAACTCCGAACTCTCTTGCTAGCCATTGTGTTGACAATATCTTCTTCCTCTGCCCACTAGGATCTGTCATCAGATTCTTCCCAGCACGTCCGTTCTGCTTTGGCTTCAGTGATAATGGGAATGGCCCCTGTGCTGGGGAAGGTAATAACCTAGCTATGATTTTCTGTTGAACAATGTGGTTATGTTATTTTCTGCATGGTTGCAGATCTAGCTTTTTGATGGTTGTTTTTTATCTGACCAGCTCAGTGGTGTTGGGACATGTTTGACTCCCAGATTTTGCTCCTAGTTGTATCAGCTTCACTTTCAAGTTCCCCCCCCCCCCCCCCCCCCCCCCCTCTAAGGCTTTCTTGTCGGATCATTAATATAGACCAATAGGCAATGATACCATCACATCTTCCTCTTGAAAAGACTTGCTAATTTGGCCTAGATCTTTTTATAATGCTATTTACTTGAATGGGCTTTTCTCCTGGTTGCAATTGAAGTAATCTTTTGTAATTGGAATGCAATCCATCTCTTAAGTTCATTTTGTTTATCATCACAGGATGCTACAATAGAACAGCTTCTTCCAATTTTTCTTTCCCTTTTGAAAGATGAATTTCCCGATGTGAGACTCAACATTATAAGCAAGCTCGATCAAGTGAATCAGGTTCGTTTCACTCAATTTCATATGATCATGCTCCATGAATCTTTGCTTTCGATGCAATTTTTTAAGCCATCAAAATATTAGTATATATATTCCACATGGTTTTAATAGATTGCTTCCGCTTTCCACTACAAACTATGATGGAATCATCAGTCTTGTATACCTGTTCTTTCTGCCCTACATCCTCTTAGCAGTTACTCTTCTGCACTGAGACAAGTCATCTTTGTTGGTTAACTATGGATGCAATTGTTGGACAAAATTACACAAAATTTGCCTGCTCTGTGATTGACTGTTAAATATTTTTCTTCTGTTTAACTTCAGGTCTGGAGTTGATTTTGGGTTGTATTTCTGTCTTTCTCTTTGGCAGTTGTTGGAATACCTCCATTTCAGCCTAATGCATTGACATCATGTGGTGTTTTTGTAGGTTATTGGAATTGATCTTTTATCCCAGTCTCTATTACCAGCAATTGTTGAGCTTGCTGAGGATAGACACTGGAGGGTTAGGCTCGCAATCATAGAGTACATACCCCTACTGGCAAGCCAACTGGGTGTTGGTTTCTTTGATGATAAGCTTGGGAGTCTTTGCATGCAGTGGTTGCAGGACAAGGTATTGATTTTACAATCATGTGAACGTCTATTAGATTAGAGACAATAATCTCCTTTTTTATTGTGGATAGGCTATACTTATTGTCTTAAGGACTACAATAATTCATTCTTTTGAATGCTAACTCACACCCATCTCGTTGGTTTACTACAGGTTTATTCGATTCGTGATGCTGCTGCTAATAATTTGAAGCGCCTTGCTGAAGAATTTGGTCCTGAGTGGGCAATGCAGCACATAATCCCACAGGTTGGTCTCCCCCCTCTCTGTTCGGTTGCGAGCAATACTGGTTTACCTAGTTTACCTAGTTTCTTCCATATTCTGTTGTGCCCTTTTCAGTTTTGATGGGATTGCATTGTTAGTTGGTATTTACAAGTGATAATTTAAGCTGTTATTGTTACCGGCATGTATAACTCTAACGGCTGTCTGCCTATAGGCACCATTGTATCTATACTTCTCTCCCTATTGTTGCTGTACTTTTTGCTGGCAATTTCCTCAAGGCAATTTGACGTTGGCATTTTCCTTGTTGCAGGTCTTGGAAATGTTCAACAATCCGCACTACTTATACAGGATGACCATTCTTCGGGCCACTTCTCTTCTTGCTCCTGTGATGGGCGCTGAGATTACATGTTCGAAGCTACTGCCTCCCGTTGTCAATGCAGCCAAAGACAGGTATCTTTTATCATGAAATTCTTAATTCTTAATTCCGGCCTTTGTATAATATATGGTCTTCTGCAAGTTCTGTGGTTTTCTGATATATCGAATCGTTTCTTCAGGGTACCAAACATCAAGTTTAACGTGGCAAAAGTCCTGCAGTCCCTCATTCCAATAGTTGATCAGTCTGTAAGTATAGACTGTATAGTCAGCCTTATTCCCATTCCACAACCCATGGCCTTTCAGTTTATTAAACTGTTGGTGAAAACCTCGTTAATTTTTGCAGGTGGTGGAGAAGTCCATTCGTCCTGCTTTAGTGGAACTGAGTGAGGATCCAGATGTAGACGTGCGTTTCTTTGCGAATGAAGCACTTCATGCGATCGACAATGCCATGGTCTCAGGCTAGATATGTGCCAATAGTTTTTCACAGCTTAAAATAGTTTATTTCTTCCTCCCTCGTCGACATTTTATGGTAATGGTTGATTGATTGTTGTGCAATTCTTCTGTATTTGAGTTGTATCGACTTTGCCCTTTCGAAGTGCTGGGTAGCAGACATGGAATGGAGATGTAATTTTGTAACCTAATATCTGATGCGAGAGAAACTCAGCCTTTTTGCATAATAGAATGAAAGCTTCATCTAACACCTTGGATTTTTGTAATTGTGTTGTAGAATTTTTATGAAGATTCTTTTATATAGTTCGAGTACTAGCAATATACTAATTAAACTATGATTCACTATCAGTGTAATCAAAATCGTGTTTTGAAGCAATTGTAATTGATTCGCTCCATAATATCTCGTTTTGCTTTTGTGCTGTCAAATTGCCTCATAAAAAAGACTCATCCAAACGATCCTAAAATTCACGCTTTTAAGCATAGTTTACCAAAATGCTTCTATTTAAGATTGTAAGTTTCTTTACTAATTTAGCCAAAATCACATTTTAAAACTTAAATCAACTGTCACTTCACTCAAGATCAAGTCCTTGCTCATAAAGTTGAAAGTTCAACGTATCTCTATCATCCTTCAACTAGGAGATCCCTTTACCAAAGCTCTTCCATTACACACAATCATCGATCTTATTTCCAAACTAAACTTGAAATCCAGTCATGTTTAGTTCGTGGAAGAGTATTAGGTCGCCAAAACGCTGATCAGCAACGATCACTAAACTAAGTTTCATTTCATCAAATCATAGACGAATCCGTGAAAATCTAAGAGCTTACGCTTTTACTCTTCCAGATCACCAAAAGCGTTCCCACACAGAATCACACTTTTGACTGCATCGATTCCGCTAACCTGTCCGATTATCTTTCCGGTACGATTTCACAAATCGATGTAACTTCCGGATGTTGGATGACATGTAATGTACGCAAACAAAAGAAAGGGAGGGGAGGGAGGAGATGCTGATGAGAGCACACATTGGAATGCCCAATTTCCAATCTCATCTCTGAAACCTTTTTGTTTGACGAAACATCCTGAAAGAAAAAACAGAGTAACTGAATCTTGTTACGTGACAGGGTTCATCTCTGCCCTATATAAACAGACGCATCTCTGCCCTCTTTTCCACATCTCTCCAACAGCCATCAAAACTCCACCTACAGTCGATTACTTCACAGAGTGAAAACAGAGGAACTAAAAATGGTGAAGGGAGCCGCATCAATGGTTGCAGTAGTGTTGGTTATTGCCCTGGCCATGATCCAGCTGGTGACTGCAGGAGGAGAAGAGGGCATTAGCTGTGGGCAAGTGGACGCCTACTTGATTCCTTGCGTTCCTTACCTGACCACCGGCGCCGGCGACCCTGCCCCCAAATGCTGCGACGGAGTGCGCAGCCTGAAGGCCAACACCGCCACCGCCGACGACCGCCGGGCAGCCTGTGGGTGTGTCAAGGCCGCCGCCGGGCGTTACCCGGTGAAGGATGAGGCTGCTTCAAGCCTCCCGACCAAATGTGGGGTGGATATTGGAATTCCCATCTCCAAGGCCATTGACTGCCAGACGTAAGTAGTACTCTGCATATTGTTTTTTTTTTTTTCTTAATTACTCTGTTTTATACTTTTATTATTGTGAATCATCTTTTGATTTGATGTTTTGTGTTTTGTTGATTGAATTAATGCAGCATTAACTGAGTATTGGGAAGATGGAGATGCTCTAGCAAAGTGATAACGGTGTGGTGACGGGTTCATTTCCTTCGGGGTTTTAAGTTTTGAGGTGTATGATTTCAGATATTTACTACCGAAAATAGTAATTAATCTCTCGTCATGAATAATTGTAAGAAGGCGATCGAATAAAGACCGGTGTATTGAGTGGGAATTCTTGCATCAGCTAGTATGTGTTGACATATTGTTGTTTCTTTCGTTGTTTGGGTATGTGTTGACATATTGTTGTTTCTTTCGTTGTTTGGATGGAAATCATCGGACGCAGGGGCGGAGCTAGAAATCAAGCTTCGGGGGGGCCGAAATTATTTTACACGTGTTATCAAAAAAGACAAACAAACTAAAAAATAATTATCAAAGTAAAGAAAACTAATACTTTTAATCATCATAATTGTCCAACCCACTTTTTTAAGACAATAAGATTTACTTAAAACATGATTTAAGATAAAAATACTATGTCATTTTGACTATAAACGAGTTTATTACCAAAAAAATTAATAATGCATTCCAATGCTAACTAGTTTCATTATTTTTAAAGCTGAAATATCAATATGCACTATCTCCTAAAAAATTTACTCATAATATATTTAAAAGAGTCCTTAAAAAATGTAAATACAAAGCCAAAAAGTACTCATTATAATTTCAAAAAAGTCCTAAAAACTTTGAAATGCTTAGTTTAAGAATCTAATTAATTTAAGAAACTAAAATATGGAAACTAGATGATTATATTGGAGTCTCATGCAAAGTACAACTAAAACAAGAAAAGAACAAAAGTTACTATATGGGGAATCGAACCCACACCATTTATAATCACCTGTTAATGTCATTCCGTTAGGCTAAACCACTCATTGTATTATTGTTTGCAACATTTATTATATGTATTATACGTAATTTATACGTAATTTTCCATAATCGTGAACAATTTATACGTCATTTTCAAAATTCTCGGGGGGGCCGGGGCCCCCCCGAGGCAAAGTGTAGCTCCGCCCCTGATCGGACGTGAATGTTACTTTTTTATTCTTTAACTTCAAATGGCAAGATTCGATACATTGGATATCAAAAGAATTATGGGATGAAAAAATATGTGAACGGCTATTTGCCGTCAACCAAATTACTATTTGCCGCCAACAAAAAAAAAAAAAAGAAGTTGAATTCTCCCTTCCTTCCCTTCCTATAAATTTCAAATTTTGTCGACGAGCCCAGTGCCTCCGTCGCCGGCACCGTTCCTCCGTCGCCGGCCAACCTCCCGTCGTCCTCAATCGTCGGAAAACAAGTAAGTTTACTTTTTCCGGCAAGTTTTTCAATTTTCCGGCAATTTTTCAGTTTTCCGACGGAAAACATGGTGGGCCGAAAAAAAGTTGTGGCCGGAACGCCGCCGGGCCGAAAGAATTTTTCGGCCGGCGCGACGCCCAGCAGAAAAATTCTTTCGGCCCGGCGGCGTTACGGCCGCAAATTTCTTTCGGCCCGGCGGCGCACCGGCCGCAAGATTTTTTCGGCCCGGCGGCGCACCGGCCGCAACTTTTTTTCGGCCCGGCGGCGCACCGGTCGCAAATTTTTTTCGGCCCGGCGGCGCGCCGGCCGCAAATATTTTTCGGCCCGGCCAGTTTTTGTATTTAATTTAATTTAATATGTTAATTAATTAGTCAATAAAAAGTTACTTAATTAGTTATTAGAAATTAGTGTTAATATTTTTTTAAGTTGGTGTATAAATGTTTTTTTTTTGTAATAGGCGTATGAATCTTTAATTACTTAGATTAGTTAATAGAAAATTAATTAAGAATTGGTTTAACAATTAATGTTAATAGTACAATTAATGTTAATAGTACATTAATTAATAGAAAATTAATTAATTAGTGATTAATTAACAATTAATGTTAATAGTACATTAGTTAATATAAATTTAATTAATTAGTGCGCATCTAAGTATGATATTGATTAATTAGTGATTAATTAACAATTAATGTTAATAGTATATTAGTTAATAGAAATTAAATTAATTAGTGCGCATCTAAGTATGATATTAATTAATTTGTGATTAATTAACAATTAATGTTAATAGTACATTAGTTAATAGAAATTTAATTAATTAGTGCGCATCTAAGTATGATATTGTGTAAATTTGTAGATAATTAGATATGGATGATGCGGGTGGGAGTGAGTTGGGTAGATTCAATGGTAGGGTTGTTGATGCATCAACACGAAGGAAGGTGCCTAAGAAGAATAAGGAGAAGAAGCGCTCTCGAGATATTGGACATCAGTCAGAGGCTCCTACTGTAGTTGCTCGTTCGTCATCACGGTCGTCTGGTTCCCATGGGGGGAACCAGGGTGCTGCATCGAGAGTGGTCTCGGCTGAGTTTGATGAGGACGATAATGATGAGGATATCGAGGTCCCTCCACCTACGCGTGGTCATGGACGAGTGCAGGATCGTACGGCAACATCACGTCCTGCTATGTATAGGGACCGAGCTGGGCGATTCGTACCACCTGCTCGTGAGGAGACAGAGAGCTCGGGGACTGGACGGAGTAGGGGAGGACGTTCGAGTGGTCCTCCACCGTGGGAGCTTGTTGGTGAGTGTCCTGGTGGACCAACGGATCCTAGCCACATTAGGAGCTTCCGTGGCCACGCTTCCTATGCACTTTGGACGGGCTTGGAGATCGAGGGGTCATCAGTTGCTACACCCGTACAGGGGCGGTTGATTATCTTGGGAGCTACGTGTTTAGTCATGTTGAGGCGGAGGATCTGGTTCAGCAGTCAGGTCTCCAGCACCTGATCTACTCTATGTTCCGCAAGATAGTGATTGACGAGGCTTTGATCTCAGCTTTTGTGGAGAGGTGGCAGCCAGACACGAACACCTTCCACTTGCCTTTTGGAGAGATGACGATCCTCCTCCACGATGTTCAGTACTTACTGCAGATTCCTGTTGAGGGACGACTGATGAGTAGGACTTCTGCGCAGCTTGACCATCCGGAGGTGGGTTTGTGTGCGCTTCTTGGGATGAACTCGGAGCAGTTGAGTGGTCGTTCGGAGGCCCCTGGATTTGGTAGTAAGGGTAAGTGGTACGACAAGGGTGGTTTTCTTGCGGAGATGGCGTCCAGATACTTGCAGGTGAACGGGACACATGAGACAGAGGCGCAGTCGTACTTGTTGTTGATGTTGGGGTCCACTTTGTTTGTGGACAAGAGTAGAGACAGGGTTCGGCCGGTGGTGAACCTATTTTTGGACGAGTTGGAGGAGATAGATCAGTACAGTTGGGCTTCCGGTACACTTGCTTGGTTGTACAGATGCCTTGGTCAGGCGTCTCGTGCTGGTGCCAGGGGGGTGGCTGGTTGTCTCACACTTCTGCAGTGTTGGATCTACGAGTACTTTCCGGATTTCAGGCCATCTCACTTTGAGCCACCTGTCGTTGGACCTGATGAGGCTTGGGCTTCACGATGGATTGGGCAGCCGGCGACTGGTTCTGTGGCTGATCCCAGTGTGAGGTTGGCGTTCTACCGTCGAGCTCTTGACAGCTTGACCCCTTCTGATGTGTTTTGGACACCTTTCCATCAGAGGCCTCATCAGGCAGTGCGTCGCTCTTTGT